AGAGCCAGTGTGGCAGATGTGACAGTCCTGCTTTCTGAATTTGACAGTTGGCAGCCCAGAGAGCCTGCTAGCAAACCCATTATTTGTCAAAGTGCTTGTGTTATGATTTGTGCTGAGGAAAATGAAGTAGAAGTAGAGATGACAGAGACAATAGCACAGTGCTTTAAAAAGAAAAGAAATTACGTCTGGACAAGTAGGCTTGTACAAAAGCTTCATCCATTTCAGTGTCCTGTCTCTCCTTCATTAGAAGGGTAGATTTGGCTGCAGTAGCCAACCTGGTTTTGTAGCCAACCAACTCTCTTGACCCAGGCAGAGGACAACATTTGTTCTCTGTGTGGAAGGTTTTACTTGCTGGCCAGGCTGCTCCCATGGACTTGCTGATCTCAAATTGTAAGGCCACTGTTGGTTGACTGCAATAGTGCTGAGCTGGTTGTGGCTCAGTTATATTTTTGTTCTAACAAAAGCTTGTGGTCAGACCTTTCCTGCAACAAAGGTCGCCAGAGGTTTCTCCTGAAGTGTCCTGTTTCTCCTTGGTGCTGGAGATACTTAAATATATAAGGAATATGGATTATGGAATCTCTGTATGTATCATCAAATTAATGCATCTCAGAATCCGGTGTTGTATAGCTAGAATGTGGGTTAGCCTGAGCAAGTAAGGCAGAAGATAAAAGGAAAAATTCCAGGCTCATCTGTCCCAAAAAGCATAAAATTTCATCTTTTTTCTAAGAGCCCTTGAATTTGAGGAGCTTGTAATGTATCTGAACACTGCAACTCATCATGTCACACTTGATTTTTCTTAACACCTCTTTCAAGGCCATACACGGCGTTTAGCAGAGTTACTAATCTACTGCTTTTCAGGGGCAGAGCACAAGTTGTACGAAAGATGTTACCTGACAGACTGTGAGGATGTGAACACGTGGCATTCAGGTGTTTGTGTGCTGGCACTCTTGGCTTTCACCAGAGAGGAGCACAGGAGTTTTGCATCCGGATGAATGTAGGTGGCTGTACATCAAGTCCACGTGCAGCAGGATGAGCCTCAGATGCGTGGCACAGTACATCTGTCTTGAGACACTGCTCCTGTGCTCAGATCCTGGGATAACAAGGTATTTACGAGGGAGCCCAGGAGGGCCTGCAGTCCGTGCCTGGGAAAACTGGGGTGATTACGACTTGGAAAGACCTAACAACCTTCTGGGCTAGGGGGAGAGCATGTCTCTGCAGCACTTTTAAGTGATAAACAGGATGCATTGAGGCACAGGCACAGTAAGTGAGGGCTGATAGCCCTTGCTCCAAAAATCAGGTAATAAAATCACTCTGAGCTGCTAAGTGGGGAGTTTATGGTTTTCATACTGACTCCTTGTCAGAGGCAGGGAAGGGCAGCAGACCCTTTTGTGCAGTGTCTGGGGACAAGAATTCCTATTGGTGAAATGGGGGCACACGAAGAGCCTGGTGCTGCCATTTCCCCATCCTTTGTAGCTAGCCATCATATGAGACTTAGCCTGCCCCAAATCCCAAAACATGGACAGGAGAGCCATCTTCTCCCCACCCACAGAAAACATAAGCTGAGTCTTCCTCTATAGTTTGTTCCGAGGTTTATTTCCTTTCTTTACTTGATTCTTTGTTTCCACTGCCATGGTTTTTCATCAGTTTTGATCATAGTCAAGCCATGCTAAAATAATTAATGTACCAGTTGACTGGAATGCATAATCAGTTCAGTCCATGCAACTCATGCAGCGCTTTGAGAGAGACACAATTGCTGCAGGGGGAGAAAGGTCCCACTGGTGGCATTTCATCGGCCTGCAGCTCTTGGGAGGTTTTCTTAAAGTCCCTGGCTGACAAAGCAAGGGGAATTCTCTGTCTCAGCTTGCATTAAAAGGCAAAATATTTCCATCTTGCAACAGCAGAGCAGCATAGCGCTTGTTGCATTCCTACAGCTCCAAAGCCAAAGAAAAAGACCCTGTGATTTTTGTCTGATATCAGAACTTTTAAGAAAGTAATACGTTAGGGGGAAATGTGAGCTGATTGATCATTGTTTAATTTCTGGGGATTAGGAGTATGGTATGCTGTAGGCTCGATGAGATGCTGTTGTGATGGAACCCGCACTAAATTCAGCCTCTTTTTAGCTGGCAGGGTCCACACAGTGTGTATGGGAGGAGGATGAGGATTTATGCTTCACAGTAAGTCTGCCTTTGGCTGTGCTGGGGGGCTGGATGAACTCTGCACCACCTCATTAGTTGCAGAGTTGTTCGAAGCTGCATCCATTTCTCCAGAAGGGGGAGAGTGGAGTAGTTGGATGCTGGAGGAGCGCACCCTGTGCAGAACTGTCCTTCCGCCCTGACTCAAGCCTGGGCACAGTGCAGAAAAGTCAAGGCGCTTAGAATTACGCTGTCAAATCTACTCGCGTGGGGTTTTGCAAAGTCCGTCACATCTGACTGTCAGTTGTGTGAGTGAATCGTTGTGCATTAAGATTTCACCACTGTTTTTAATACCGTAACCGAAAAAAATCTCTCCCTCGCAGTAAAACCGCTTTTCATTTGGCAAACTCTGATTTGTTGCTTCTTTTTCTGTAAAGATCAGATGGGTAACAGGAGCTGTACAGCAAATGAATGTATGCTACTCGAGATAGTAAAATACAGGGCTACAATAGGCCTTTTCTGAGCAGCTGTAAAGCTGCTGTGTGACTACAGTGAAACCATTCAGCCTGCCCCACGCCTGCTGGGAGCACCCAGGGGGAGGGAGTTGTATGGGTGGAAGGGCTGCCCGCAGAACAGATTCAGACATGGACAGAGCCACGTCCGGCACCTCGGTTTGGCTTACCAGGTTGTTTCTGTTCATCTGGGGGATGTGAAGTTTCAGTTTCACGTGAGCTAAGAGGTGTCTGCAGCTTTGCCCACGTTACCACATCACCACTAATTCAGTGTGGGTGTTGTGTTTCTTACAGCCCTCTGAGATGCTGTTATCTTTGTTGTAGATACGGAGGAAACTGAGGCACAGGAAAATCAGGATGAAGCGACCATGTGCATCTTTTCCAACCCTGGTGATTCTGTGATTCTATGATTAGGAGCCAAACTCTCATACCTAAAAGGCGCCGTAGAAGCTCAGGTGTCACTTACAACTATTCCAGCCCTTCAGGAAGTGTCACATATCATTTGCCCCTAGGACATGTGAAAAGTCTGGAGGATAGCTGGGAATCTGTCCCTCAAAAAACAGTCTGTTTCTTTAACGGAAACATGAGGGCAGGAGGGTTTTACACTGTTTTCAGTCTTAAAATAGAGTCCCCAGCTACCTTGTATTTGAGCTGGGGAAAGATGGAGGGAGGCAGGAGCTCGTTGGTTCAGAGGGGGGGCATTCCGTAAAAGAATTCTTTTAACAGTTTTTCTTAAATTAAGAATCGTTTCTGGGTGGAATGAGTCACGGACAGGTTGTCCTCATTTCACTTTGAACTCGCAGCCTTCTCTGGATGTGTGTTACAGCTTTGGAGGGCTCTGTCCCCTCCCTGCAAATCTGTAGGCTTGGCTGCTAGGCGTGAGAGCGGGCTCCCTAAGGGAAGCAGGAGCAGCCTAAGCGTGGAGGAGCACAGAGGAGCAGGATAATTTAAATGGAGCATTTGGGGATTTGTTCATGCTATAAGCAACTTGTGGGAGTGGTGAAACAGGTGCAGGCCCTGGGCAGGGTTGGGGAAGCCCATGTTGCTCCTGGTTTACGTGTTGGTCTTTGGGCTGAGTTTTGGGTTTTCTTTAAGGGAGGGGGGGAGATAAAGTGTGATGCGGAAAGCTGTACTTCTAAGAGTTTCTGACCACTTTAGTTGTATTTTCTGAAGTATGTACAGCCACAGAAGGCTGTGGATAATGTCTCCATTTCTTAATTAAAAGCAATGGAAAAAATTGCTCAGAGTGTCTGTCTGTCATAGCTGAGGGAAGAAAACCCGAAGCAGTTCGGCTCAACTGCATGCAAGGTCAAACTCTCTTCTTTGTCACGTTGTGAAAGGTTGTTGGTTTCGGTGGGGTCAGTCACAGGTGTAGCCACGGGAACGGCTCGCCGTTCAGGCTTTCAGCAGCACAAGAATGAATGCAGAGGAATAGAGCTGTTGGTGCTAAAAATGGTGCGGAGGGAATAACCGGGATGCCTGCGCTCCAGCGGGGCCGTGCAAATGCAGGAGCGTGCCGTCCAAGCTCTGAGTCGGCTGGCAGCCGAGGGGTTTTCCTGCTGACACAGCCTGGGCTGCCTGCTCTCGGCTGCTGGCTGAGGCACCGCAGGTAGGGGTGAGGAGAGGAGTGGGGGTGCGGGAGGGGACGAGGAAGCGCTCGGCGTAGCGCAGCAGCACGTAGGTCGCAGTCAGACCCATTCAGACCTTTTTTGGCGATGGTGGAGAACGTCAGAATTGACTGTGTTAGAGACCTGCCAGTTTCTCTTACTCAGTGCTTTGTCGCTCCTCCTCCTCCCTTCCTTCCTCTCCTCTGCTAGGGCTGGGTTCTGTAGTGTAGGCACTGTGCAGGTTCCCTGGCACGTCGCTGTGTCCCCTGACTGTTCCAAAAACGTCTCCGATTCGGGAGCTATGCATGTTACTGCTAGTAATAACATCAGTGGTAGCACTGCAATGATAATAAAGCCAATCGTTGCTCTCCCCTCTAACAGTTCGATGCTTACATAATGGTTATCTTTTTTTTTTCTTCTTGATTTGCATCTCTGAGCTTTCGTCCCTTTTCTCCTTCATTATTTTGCGGAGCCCAGTTGTACTCAAGATCCTTCTTTAAACGCTTAGTAGCGTACTGCCATAGAGGTTTTAAAAATGGCATGTTTTTCACTGGTCTAAAATAGTTGCTGGTTTGTTTTGTTGTAAGAGCAGCCCACAGAAGAGTGCTTCTGCTGTGGGGAGTTAGCACACTCACTGAAGGTAATGAAATATACATTGGAGAAAGGTCAGGGATTTCCCCCGAGCCACCCACCAGTCGCTTGAAATGACATGTTCATTCTGAGTGTTTCTTGGTTTGTTTTTGTTTAAGATCCTGGAGCCCAGGAAAGAGTTTTAATGCGAAGCATCAGAAAAAAACCGCTGCAGCATCTCATGTGAGAGAGGGGAGAGAAGAAAGGAGACTTGCGCAGTAACATCTCGAAACACTCAGATGGTTTGAGGTGAGTGACTGGAGGGTCATCTCGTAAGTTACGGTTAGTTTGTGATTAAATTAATCCTTTTTACCTCCGAGTGTCATATTTGTGCCCGTGGCGATAAAGATAGCGGAGAGAGGGAAAGAAGAACAATAGCAAAAATATATGTAATGCAGTTATCTTTTGGAAAATGGGCCCCGTGAGGTCCGGTCCTGCACACAGGATCATTCTATGATGTTATTCTATGATAAATGTTAGATCATTTTAACATTTGTAAGGGTTGAACCTTGTTTAAATCAATGTGGCTATTCTCCCTGAAAGTTAGGCGTGCGCCTAAGTATTTCCACGTTTGGAATCTGTGTGACATGGGAACTCTGCAGAGGAAAGCTATTGAAGAAAATGCAATGCACTGCCAGAAGAACGCCTATACAGTTATGTTACTGTTGCTGATAATGTCATGAGTAATTGGAGCTTACGGCATTCTTAAGTGATACTTTTGTATTAAACACATAGTTCTCATTTTTATGTTCAAGCACCTCGTTGGTGCTTACCAAACTTCTTGACGGAGCCTGTTAGTACTCCACCAGCTGTAATAAACATGTCGCCCTTAATTGCTTCATCAGTGTCTTTGAACAAGAAGAGTTAAAAGTATAAAGAAAATAATGTCCCTTTCATAACCAGAGTTGCAATTTGCACTTAGATGTTCGACTAGCAGCAGAACTAGGAGTTCCCTGAATGAAGCTGAATTGTGTTGTCTTGAGTTATTAAATATTTTTAATAAAGACAATTAATTATGAACTCCAATGAAGAGCCCACCTTTTCCCTGTAGTCTTTCTCTTTTTGTTTTCATCGCTCTCATTAGAAAAGAATGACCTCTGAGTCTTCTTGTTTTGTCTAGTTCAGAGGAAATGTTACAGTTGTAAAACCAGCCAGTGAAATGCTGCCTAAAAGAAAACTGAGAAAGCAGGCTCTACCTTTTTTTTTTTTTTTTTAGAAAAAAAAAAAAAAAAGTTATTTATTCCTTTCTGACCTACAAGTGTGCCGAAGAAGGCAAAATTACTGTAAGAAAGAAACCTGCAGAATGAGAAGAGCCAACATAAGCTGGTAGAAGCAGGGCATATAACCTCACAACTGTACAGAATATCAAAACCCTTTGCCTGGTGGCATTTGCAGACATTTGTTGCTTACCAGGTTTCAGAAGAAAGGAGAGCATAGCTGGCCCCTGGTGATTGCTCTGTATTTGCTCTGTAGGAATAGAGCTATTAAGTTTCTTTTGAAATAACAGACTCGCTGCAGGGAGCTAAATATTTCCTTTCTGGTTGGTGGACTGGAGCCATTTCTTGGGAAATTGCACCAGTCCTTGTGGGCATTTGTACAGATTTATCCAAAAAAGTTAGAAACTTGCAAATCAGTGTGGACGACTTCTTTTTACATGCACTTCTTGCATCAGGGACTGTGAACACAAAAGGGGATACAAGACTCTGCCAGTAGGAGTGTGAGGCAATTTTTGTAGTTGTGAAGTGAGGCATTAATGCAAATACATTTGAGACAGCTGCCATATGCCATGTAGGAGCTCTGGATCTTACAACTCCCCCTTCCTTTCGCCATCTCTTCCCCCATCCCTGCAGCTCAGGTGTTACAAGACTTTGCTCTCTGGGGCTCACCCTACTACAGGCATAGGACAACAGTTGTGGCCAGACCAGGCTGGTGAGAAAGGGAAGGAACCACAGTGAGCCCTTTGTGACATCTGTGAGCCCACCTTGTTTCCTCCCAGTCCCCATTTTCTGTCAGCAAGCATTCCTTCTGAGCTCTGTGGAGTGCAAGTCACAATGCTTTTATTCCTGTCTTTTTTTCATTGACATCTGACAAAGATAACGTGCACGATTTTCCTTTCGCTGCAGCCTTTTTGCTGTTGGTCTCTGAGGAAGCTCATGTTGAAGTTCAGGGGAATATATCTTTGTAGCATCTGCGTGACCTTTATAATCATTCGATCAGCTCTCCGTCGCAGTCACAAAATTGTTGAGTCTTGTTTAGATTTCAGTGCATTTGGGAGTGGAGGAGCTCGCTGGCAGTATCAGAGAAAGGGAGGTTCTTTGGTGGTGAGAGATGCGTTTTAAGATATTGCAGTGTTTTTTTCCAGCACGTGAAGAAGCAGTGCCTCCATCCGCGTGTCCTGTGGTGTGAGGCAGGGAGCTGTGTGCGTGCTGAGCAGGCGGAGGGACCGACTTCCTTTAGCCTTTTATTTTTTCACTGGGAATGAAAATGGGGGACTGAGCCTGCCCAGATTAAACACATGCCTGTTTTGTTTTGCCTTTCTCTGCTCTTCTTTCAGCTGTCAGCGTGCCATGTTCAGATGGCAGTGATCAGTCACAAATTGTCCCCCATCCATGCTCCTCAGCTCTTCTAAACCATTACTTTAGTGGAGCCCTTCAACAAAGATGGCACTGGTTCGATTTTTTTTTGTTGTTTTTTTTTCCTCCTAGCTAATGGAAAAAGAGGTTGCTTGTTTGTTTGTTTGTGTTTTTCCCCTCAAGTCAGCTGCATTCGTTCCCAAAGCAACTTGTGTTAAGTGGAAATGAGGCTTTGATAATATGTGTGCTTGCTGGAGACTTGCTTAGATTTTTTTCCCCTGTATATGGATCTTTTCAATGGGGCGCCTCTATTGTGAAGCAGAAAGAAAGTGCACGGGCTGCCAGGCACATAATGGAATTGTTCATTTGTTTATGTAAGTGTGTGTAAGCCTTTGTGAAGAGGAGGTGGTGGGGACAGAGAATGGAGACCTTCACTGCGGGGAGCTGAGTGTGTCGTGGCACAGCCAGGGCCCCCTTGCAGCAGGGCATAGCCACGTCTGTGCTGCTGCCCGTGCCCATGTTGTGTTCAGTGCTGGTGAGCATCACCTGGGATTTTTGCTCCTGAGCTTCACCCGCTGAAATGGATGAAGCTGATGCAGCCATTGACTGCTCTGGCTGTAAACCACATTAGGCAAAATACACAAAAATTGTTATATTTCCAACTTCAACCATGTGTTTTGGCTTTTGGAAGAGTGATGTAAACATGAACCGTGCCAATACTGTGCTTCCTCTCTGTGAGGCTATTTGTTATAAAGAATGCATGGTTCTAGTCGTTTTAGCATGGAGTAGATAAGAGCTTGAACACAAGCCTTGGATCCAAGCCCACTAGCAGCTTTGCAAAGGGCAGGATCCAGATCTGAAGTTCAGGCAGCTCCTAGCAGAGACTGGTTTTAACTTCATAAAATGGGAGTAGCCAGAAGTTCTAAATTGGGACTTTTGAACAAGATCTTGATTTTTTTCTCACCCGCCACTCTTGTCTGCATGTAAAACCATGGGGGCTGTGTTTTCCACACGTCAGCTCTGAGAGTGGAGAGGGGCCTCTGTGGTGAGCAGTGTTACACAGCTGTGTGCTTTTTGTTGAGAAGTGTTTTCTTCTCGAGGAGTTAGACCTTCCTTTTGGAAGAAGGTCTTTGGAGGCACAGTAGAGGCTTCAGAGGTAGGATCTTTAAGATTCCCAGAAACGAAGGAATTAGTTGATCAGTCTGCTGTGGATCAAAGCAGGCCTCAGTGGCTGTGCTCCCCAGTCCCCAGTAGTCCTCACTTGTGGTGCCGCAGCTTGGCTATGGATGTGAAAAAATAACTACACCATAAAAAAAAAACAATTCACAAGGCCTGAACTTCTCTTTACTTTCTAGATACAGGTCCCTGTTCTTATCCTTCCCCTTCTTCATTGCCCTTGGACACATTCTTAGGACTTTTCAGTCTCTAGCTGCAGAGTTACTGGGGAGATGTTTGATTAGATGTTATTTTACACATCTGCTACGTCAGAGAGTCAGATCCTACACCCAGAGACTTTATGTGGATTAGCAGCCCTCCCTGTGGGACTTTGTATCTATAAACCAATGAATGGCTTATGAGAATACAAAAATGTAGTCTTGCAACCGACTGCATACATTCCTGCTACAGTCATCTCCGTGTTTGACAGAGAAAAACTGCTGTGTGAAAGACAAGAAGCACTGGTGAATTGGGCAGCATTGTGGTATGGCAGTTAATGTGCTCCCTCCTAAAGGCGTCATCTTTCTGGTCGGCAGTAAGAAAATAAGATGATGATTAGAGTATCTCTAAAAGGGACTGGCAAGCAGCTGATGTTGTGTGTCTCAAACTTAGCTTTAGCACTGCAGGACTGTGGGGAGGTTCTGAATACAGGTAGTGCTGTTGATAGCTGAGGCTAAGCTGAGGTTCTGCAGCTTTGTCCAGAGACTTTGTAACTGTCTGCAGTCTATGGAGGAAACTCAAGTTAGAAATAAGTATCTTTCAATTGAATGGGGTTTCCTTCTCTGCTAATCTCACTGCTCAGACTTCTATTTCTGTTTTCTACTCTGCAAATACATAAAGCCTGGAGAAAGTGTCTGGCTCCTTAGCTGAGTTTTTTGTCATGACTCATGTAGAAACCAAACTTTATAGAACTACTTCTTATGAATGATGAACCAGGGCTGCTAATCTGTATGCTTTACATGCCTGTCAGCAGAGGAGCTGAGCTGCGGCTTAATTGTAGCTGGTGGGACTGTGCCTTGTGCTGACAGCCCATGGGTGGAGGGTGGGGAAGAGCACTGACCATAAACTTGTGTGCTTGTTGTCTTCTGTGTGGGTAATACACAGTGGAGCGGCTGCTCACCGTCGTGGGAGACGAATTGTACTGGTTGTAGCAGCATTGCTGTGTGTCGTCTGATGCTTGGGAGCCTCTTGCTAGCCTCTTGTTAAACACCATTTGTAGAGGGTTGGAGACAGCCAGGTAAGACAGCAGTTAACACCGAAGAGCTGGAACAGAAAGACTTGTGAGACTGCTAAAAACCATTTTCTCCTATGCCACAGGGCTTGGCAGCTGGAGCCCATGTGGGAGCCCACTGCTGCTGACCAGGAGCTGCTCATTCTCTGGAGCGGGGCAGCTGTGGACATGAGAAGACGTGCCACCCACAGGCTGGGAGTCCTTCAGCAGCCAGCCGCCCTCTCCTCTGT